AGGTGAGATATTATCTCCACATTTCTTTAACACCTGAAGATAAAGTTAGCTATAATCTTTCTCGTTGGGGGTTCAACCAGAATTGTCAAGCCAGCTGCTCTAAATGCAGGGAAAAGATGGAGCTGCTCAGGAAACTGCCTGCACTCCCAAATTTGTTGAGCCAAAAGACGCATGGTGCTTTCTTGTGGACTATGTGGAGCACACAGAAGAGAGGTCCACCTGTAGCTATTTAAATTCTTACCAAAAAGATGGTGCCAAGGGTGATAAACACCTTAATTAGTTCTAATGAACTAATGAAGCACTATATCATCTCTGATTGTGCTGAGGTGTTTACAGTCCATTTTACACATAGCAGACAGAACAAATCAGATGACAACACACTTTTGCTTAAGACCCTTCTACTGGCTTCTCATTGCACTTAGAATAAAACCTAAACAACTCTAACCTGGCTTACAAGGCCCTAGGTGGTCAGGCACCTACCTATCCTTCGGACCTATGGCAGGTTGCTCTCTCCTTCACTCATGGTAGGCTCCACGCCGATCCTCTGACTCTTCCCCTAACAGGGAAGTTCACTCTGCCTTTCTCTAACCTTTTCTCCCTAAGGTTCTTCATCATGGATTCTTGTCTTACACATATCAATTTAAATGTGACCCCTGCAGACATATCTTGCCTGGCAAGCCACTCTAAAGTAGTGACAAAGACTGTCCCCTTGACCAAAATGTAGGCTCCTTTGAGCCCACTTTTTGACTAGGCCTTGTCTCAGCCCTATACTCAACCTGGCTAAGATAGTCTTAGCAAAGAATCTTACCAAGTTATCCCTCCATCTTTGATATGTGATTGCCCCTGGCATCTGATCAAGTTCTTCATCCCTCACCATTGATGTCAAAGTCTATGGCCTTCCTTTAATAAGACTCTTGCTAGTAGTTTAGTAAGTTCATTAAGAATCCCCCCACGTTTGATATCTCCTCTTAGTAATCTTCACTTCATTGACCCCTCATTCTGCTCCCTGGCTATAAATCCCTACTTGTCTCTGCTGTATTTGAAATTGAGCTAAACTCTTTACCCTAATGCAATAATATAGAATAAAATCTGTCTATTGACTTTAATGAGTGTCTGATTCTGTTTCTCTTTGATAGCAGCCACCCAATCCTCTGGTGTCAAATTACCCTATTTTAATTCTCTGCATAGAACTAATCTCCATGACATAATGATGGCCATTTATGGTCTATCTCCTTACACTACGGTGTGACCTTTGGGAAAAGCAGGGATATTGTTTCCCTTGATTCCCACTTCATCTCCACCAGTGTGTTGAGCCTAGAAACCTGCTGGCAACGGCTATACACTAAATAAATTTTGTTGAGTAAGACAATTTAAAAAATTATATTTTCATGGTTTATCTAAATGGGTATGAAAGCATGTAGAAGAGAATACCGAAAGTTATCATTACACATAAGATCTATCCACAAAAGGCAGAAATAAATACCACAAATCTTAAAAGTTGTTTCCTTTGGTTTCTTCTTTAGAAATCACTGTATTTTCCAAAATTTCCACTGTGTGTTTTACTTTGAAAATCAGAAAAGCATTAAAAAAACACTAAAGAAAAAAAAGTGGCTTATGAATTACCAATTTTAGTTGGTTTATAATGTGTTTCTTCAAGAGAAACCTTTCCCTTGCAAGTTCTCAGATTATCAATTCTGTGCCAAGAGAAAGGCCCATAAAAAAATAAAAAAAGTAACCAGCAAATTTTCACAGGAGAAAAAATTGTCAAAAGTTGTATTTTCTTCCTTCAAGTTCTAAAGCCTGAGAGATTTTAAGGTAACCAAGCAAAAAACAGAATAGAGGAAAGGAAAAAGAGGATAAGAGTCCCATACTAGATATCACATCTATTCAGGAGAATCAAGACAAAATGCTGTTTTTCTGGAGTGAACTGAAGCAGTAGTGAGTAAGCACGAGTGATCTATGTGACACTGTTAACCAAGTGCAATAATCTCAACAGGAACAGCAGGACTCTGCTTATTGCACGGTTTGCCTCTACTCTTCAGTGTAATCTCAGATGTCCATTATGGCATCTATCTTTAGTTTGCTGCTACTATTTTTTTTGACAATTACTGTTGGTGTTTAATCATCTCTCTTTACATGACAACATACAACATCGTCAGATTGCATAACATGAAGATCAATTAAGATAATCAATTAAGATAACACAGAATGAAAAACAGCTCAAACACATTTCTCGAAATGGAAAAAAAGTTTTGGTGGAATCCACTGGATGAGCTCTGGCCTCTGAGTTTTTACATCGGCTGTCTGTTCCCTCTGTCTGTTGATACTTTTTTCACCAGAGAGTCAAATGACTTGCTTCCTCCTGTTCTTCAGGTCTTCCAGTTTCATTCTCAGCAAAGTCACCCTGACCAACTATCTAAAATCAAAATCCCCCAACATTCCCAATTTCCATTCCCTGCTTTATTTTTCTTCTCAGTACCTATCACAATATATAATATCCTATACTTTGTTTATTGTCTGTCCACCCCAAAAATGCAACCTATATGAGGGCAGGTATAATGGTCTGTTGTATTACTGCTGTATTACCAGAGAATTAACTTGTTGAATGAATGAATAATATGAATGAATTTGCCACTGTTATCATTTCTGAGAGTGAGTCTTAGAAGTATAATCTATCGATGATTCATACCCTGCAGTACGGGGTCACTAAAAATCTTTCTTGTGATTATAAACAGATCCCAGAATTCAAGGACCTGTAATTTCATAGTTGCTTTCATACTCCTGAACTCTTGAGAGATGGAAGAAAATCTCAAATGAGGCAACCAAGGAGCCATGATATTGGCTGCTATGGACCACTGAAAAAAATTATATGTAGTGGCAGGGTATGTAAAAGGTGCTGTCTAGCTCAGAAAACTTTAGAACTTTCCCCCATGAACAACTTCCCCTTCGTTAGTAAGGTTATTCTACATGGGTTTTCAAAATGAAAATTGTTCTTGTTTTAGTTTGAGTGTCTTTAGAATGTTTGACTTTGGTCTCCTAGAGGAAATGAGGACAACTAGTTTCATTATCTACAAAAACTGAGTTTCACAGAAAGACCCTGATTAAAAACAAAATAACAACTCTTGTTCATAAGAATGACAAGTGCATAAAATTTCATTTTATCTTAAACCTGAGCATGAACAGTGCTCTTTAAACCATAGTGGGTCATATTGTGTAATTTCTCACTAGCCAATATTATGGGCTGAACTGTGTCTTTCCAAATTGTGTTTCAATCCCAGTACCTCCAAAAGTGACTGTATTTGAAGATGAGGTCTTGAAAGGGCATTTAAGTAAAATGAGGTCATGAAGGTAGACCCTAACCCAAAATGATGGTGCTCTTATAAGAAGAGAAAATTACAACAGAGACAAGACCATGTAAAGACACAGGGAGGGGCGCCTGGGTGGCGCAGTCGGTTAAGCGTCCGACTTCAGCCAGGTCACGATCTCGCGGTCCGTGAGTTCGAGCCCCGCGTCAGGTTCTGGGCTGATGGCTCGGAGCCTGGAGCCTGTTTCCGATTCTGTGTCTCCCTCTCTCTATGACCCTCCCCCGTTCATGCTCTGTCTCTCTCTGTCTCAAAAATAAATAAACGTTAAAAAAAAAAAAATTAAAAAAAAAAAAAAAAAGACACAGGGAGAAGACATCTATCTACAATCCTAGGAGGGAAGTCTCAGAAGAAACAAACTTTGCCAACACCTTGATCTCAGATTTCTTACTTCCAGAATTGTGAGAAAAGCCATCTAATCTGTTGTAGTTTGTTATGGCAGCCCTAGAAAAATAATATAGCCAACAAAGAAATGCCAAAGACTGTCATCAGGGTAAAATACTTAAAAAGAGGTAGATTTACATTTCAGCATTGTTTTGTTCTCTCTCCAACCAAAAGGTTCACTTTAGACAGCTGCTAGTTTATTAAGGCTTCAGATTTACTTGGCACTATCCATTCATTCACTTAAGAATCTAAGAAGTATGCAGGATACTAAAAACTACAAGAGGAACAGAAATTGAATGGTCCTATTCATAAAAATAGAAGAACTATAAACCTTCTCAGTGAATGATTTTGCAATTCTACCACATTATCACTCCCTCTCTCACTACCTTTATATCACAGTTTGGTTGACAAGAAATCTCACCAGAGATGGGCAGTGCTATTTATCCAAAATAATCAAAACTATTTTCACAGAATCATGTTCTTGTTCTTTTTGTTTTTCTTGTTGCTCTTTTTCTTTCCTTTCTTTCTTCTATTTTTCTTATATTCAGCATTTTTTTTAATTTTGAACATTATCATGCTATTTTGTAATTCATGAGAGATAATATTCTAAAATAACTTTACTAGTTTCTGGAAAAGAATCAATGATTATAAGAAAAACTCCTCACAGGATAGGGTAAAAAGTAATTTAGCTGACTAAAATAATGACATAAATTCTGTCTCCAAACTTCAGCAATGGTAGAAAATCCTTGAAAACACATAAAAGGACTATTAACCTAATGATACTTTATATTATTTTTGAAGTGCCAGTACACATAGAATTGCTACCTTTTGAAAAACTTTTCAAAAATTGTAAAGAATCAAATGTAATCAAGACCAAAAATTAGGAATTTATTTCTTAAAAGTTGCAAATAGTCTACAGGGAGTCTGGGTGGTTCATTAGGTTGGGTATCTGACTTTGACTGAAGTCATGATCTCACCGGTCAGAGTTCGAGCCCCTCAGAGCTCAAGCCCAGCGTCTGGCTCTGTGCTGACAGCTCAGAGCCTGAAGCCTGTTTCAGATTCTGTGTATCTCTTTCTCTGCCCACCTTCCCTCTCTCTGTCTCTGTCTCTGTCTCTCTCTCTCAAAAATAAACATTGAAATAAAAAAATTTAAGTTTCAAATAGTCTAAATTACTAAAGTAACATTTTATGGTTAAACAATCCACAACATAAGCCTTAGTTAACATTTAAAATACACTGAAAAGATTTCCTTACCAATATTGGGGTGCTTCAAAAGACGGCAAATTCTAGCTTCTCTTTCCAGTTTCTGATGATCTGTTTAAAAAGAATAATAAAATAAATCACAGCTCTTAGCAAAAAAGATTACAAGACAAAAAAAAGCATATCAAAATGACATAAAGTCTTTACATTTATTGATCTTTTGATCTCTTTTTAAAAAGTGATAATTTGTAAGTAGGTGAACATAGCATAGTTGAACAATTTAATTTTCTTTCTTTTTCATTGGCTTGATACTTGATAGAATGAGATATAGAACAGAGCTGAACTTAGGTAGGTTGGAGAAAACAGTGAAAATGGCACAATAGTATTCTTTTACCTTAAGTATATATTATTACAACAATTTACATAACCCAAAATAAACATACACATTTTTAAGCAGAGGGTGCCTATCTAGACACTGGAATGCCATGGAAACAGTGCTAAGTAGGGTTATAGTTTGTCCCTAATGAAAAGGATTTCCTGCCCTGTCATATTTTCTATCAACCACTCTTCATTGTTGGTTCAACTTCCTAGGTTTATGATGTTCTTCCTTCTATCAGAGACTTCCAAAAATCCCAAATTGCCTGCTTATCTTCACCCTTCTAGGTATCCCTAACCACTTCTCGGAAAGAGCATGACCACTGTAACTTGCATTTTAAGAACTATTCAGACACTCTTCTTTGGCTTCTTTGTGGTGGTTCATATGTATATATTTATAACCAAAATCAATGGCCACATTACAAAATAAATGGCAAAAAAGAAGAACAGGGCAGAAACACATGTTTCCAATAAGGACAGCACTGCAGAGTGGTCATTAGCTGAGAGCCTTACATAAATAACTGACTTAAATCTTACAATAGCCCTGTGAGAACAGGCAACATTATACCTATCTTCAAAATATAAAATATAAGGCATAAAGAGGTTAACTGATTTGCCCTAGACTATAAAGTTAGTGGCATCTACCAAATCAGTTATAAAAAATAAGGCATAAAAAGGTTAACTGATTTGCCCTAGACTATAAAGTTAGTGGCATCTACCAAATCAGTTCTCATTAAGTAGAATCATAAAAGAGCCTTAAGAGAAGGAGGGGAACACCCATCTAACTACCCACATATGGTGTATACCAATCATCCTCAACCTCTGTCATCTCAGAAGCCCTTAGCACTCTTAAAAATTACTGAGAACCCCAAGGAGTTTTATTTATATGGGTTAGATCTGTTAATATTTACTCTATGAGAAACAAAACTAAGAAAAACATTATATATTAATTCATTTAAAAATAATGAACCCATTATATTAACGTAAGTTACTGCATTTAGTTTTTAAACATTTTATTTGGAATTAACAAACTTACAGAAAATTTGAAGAACAGTACTAAAAACACTTATATACAGATAAATTTATTATTAACATTTTACCCATTTAAAAAAATCATTTATGCTCTTTCCCTATGTATATATGTCTGTGTATAGTTTTACACATATTTAATTAATATACAAATATACATACAAATAAATGGGTTTATACCTATTTTTTTTCTAAACTATTTGAGTGTATGTTACAAACATCAGGGCTCTTTTCCCCTAAAATTTCAGTGTGTATTACCTAAGAACTGTGATCTTCTCTTATAATCACAGACACTACAGTTACCAGCTTCAGCAACTGTCACATTGATACTTTATCATCCATATTCTAACTTTGTCTATTTAACCCAAGGATGCCCTTTAAAGGACTTTTCTCCCTTTAGTGGAGGATGCAGTCCAGGGTCAGATATGGCACTTAGTTGTCACTTCTCTTCAGTTTCCTTTAATCTGGAACATTTCATAGTTTTTGTCTTTTATGACCCAACAGTTTTGAAGAATTCCATCATGTCTATCTTTGAAAAAGAATGATTCTCATTTTGGTATTGTCAAATGTTCGCTCCTGATTTTATTTGGGCTATACATTCTCAGCTAGAACATTTTCCTTCTCAGGCTATCACATCTGGAGGTATACATTGTCCAAACGCTTCTCAAAAGTGTAACTTTGATTACCAGGTTAAGGTGCTGTTGAATTTCTCTGCTGAATATTACTATTCTTATTTTTCCTTTGTAACTAATTAATATGTGATGAGACTTTTTATGGTCAGGAAAACATTCTGCTCTTCATCAAAATTTCCCTCTAGATTTAGCATTCAGTGAGGATTCCTGTCTGAACCAGTCTTTACTTTGATGGTAGCAAAATGTTGATTTTCTAACTCTAGCACAATAACATACTTTTCATGAAAAATACTGTTTTTTTTTAAAGTTAATGTCATTTTCATAAGAACATATGAGGACAGATAGTATCTATGCTTGCGATAAACATAGCATAATGTATAAACTTTTCCAATTATGTTGTACACCTGAAACTATTATAACATCATGTCAATTATACTCAAAAAATGATTTTGAAATGAAAAAATAAAGAGCAGCATGATTTTACATTTTTGGAAATCTCTTTGATGTCTGGCTTAACAGAAGACAGCTGTATTCTCATGTTTGCTTCTATATTCAATCTATTGCAATATGTTGTTTTGTTTGAAGTAAATGAAGAAAATCTGACCTCATAAGGTTATATAGTTGGAAAACAGTATTGTCACAGTCTTTTCAGATAATTGTGGATATTATGTTTTAATATTATCCCCAAACTCCAACAAGTGGTAGTTTCTTAAAGGTTAGTTGCCATGCGAAATCTGAAATCTTATCAATGTACTTCCCAAACCATACCAATGAAGTCATGAACTTTAATGTTTAAATCAAATTAATTTTCAACATTAATATAATACATTTTCTAATATAGTAAAATTTTACTCCGTTACATTAAAATTCATTGCTCTTTCTTGTACTTCGAATCTTTTACACCAAGGCATAATATTATAATGTGATGCACCAACCATTTGGAAAATACTGGTTTAGTGCATTATGTAGTTCTTCCAAACACTGACACATTTTGTTACCTACTATCATAAAAACAATTGTTAATATCACCACTAATATAATCAGAACAATATTTAAAATTTGGGAATTCATCACGTTCTCATGGGTAAATATAAGTTTTCCAAAATTCTAATTTTTGTTTGAAAGTTTGAATTGTGTTACTAGCAATAAATGTCAATAGTTTTCCTTCAAGCAATAGGCTCACTTTGTTCATTTTTGATAAAATGTCTCTCAAAAACCTAAGTCTGAATAATCATAACTAGTTTTTCAGTTGTAATTTCAAGTAAAAATGGTGTTCCCTGAGAGTACCTAGTTCAGCTTCCAACTCAAACAACTACAGGGTACTTTTCCTTAAGACAACCATTGTACCTCCGTATGGAGCCTGAGCGCTACCCATTCTAATCATTTAATCACATAGAATGTTGTAATGTAAAGATGTGTGATCAAAGGTCAGGATTTAATAACAGTAAATTAGCTCATTAAGTCCAATCCTCAGTGAAATAAGTTTTTGTTTTTTTAGTCTATAAGTGTATGATGCTGAAAAACACAGACTATATAGTTTGATGCTACTGATTTGATTCAGGTAAAGGTGCCAGCAACTTTATCTATTTCTTATGCATCATAGGTACAAATGTCAACACACACACACACACACACACACACACACACACACACACACCACAGAAGCATACAATGTCTTATATTTATTATGAAAATAGTTTTGACCTTGTAGATCCTCTAAGAGGGTTTCAGGAACTCTTGGGTCTATAGACAACACTTCTGAGAATCAATGGAATATTTTACAAAAAAAAAAGAACCTATTTTACATAATACTTTTTTGGCAATTTTGAAAAATATTTTAAACATACATAGTGATTTTTAAGTAATCTCTACGCTCAATGTGGGTATATAATGTTATTAATAGCTCAAATAGAAATGGTGTTTTAAAGAATCAGCATACCATTGTATTGGATCTAGCAATGTATCCATTGTATCTGGATTACCAAATATAAAGGCAAATATTTTCTCCCCTTACCATTATCTGAAACTGTTAGTGCTTCAAAAAAAATGTAAATTCTTCAAACCCCCATCTCTTTAATAGGTTCTCATTCTTAACACAAGCTCCTTCTAGAATATTCTCATTTAGAAATACATAAGTAAACATAAAAGATTAAACCTGACTTGAAATTGCATCTAGACCATCTTAAATTCCGTAAAGTGTCATATGTAAAACATATGCGAAATACTTGCTTATAGGAATTATAATTTTTATAAAGACAGGGATATGCAAATATATATGCTATCTCATGTGATATGTATTACGTATATGTTATCATTTAGTATTTATATATGTCAACTGATATCTATATAATTATATTAAAGAAAAATAAGATCTTTATTGACAATATGTGATATAGAGTTTTAGCCATAAAGATGAACATAATTACAGAATTTTATATAGCCTATTCTTATGGGCTGTATCATGTCTTGTAAAAAAAACAAAAAAACAACAACAACAACAAAAAACCCTTACTACCTCAGAATGAGTCTGTATTTGGAGATGGGGTCTTTAAAGGGGTGAAATGAGGTCATTAGCGTAAGCTCTACTTCAACATGACTGGTGTCCTTCTAAAAAGAGGAGTTTAGAACAGACAAGCATTGAGGGAAGATCACATGAAGACACTGGGAAAAGATACCTACAAGCCAAAGAAAGAGCCCTCAGGTAAAAACAACCTTTTGAAACTTTGATCTTGGACTTCTAGCCTCCAGAATTTGAGAAGATAAATTTCTGTTGTTTAACAACCTCGTATGTGTTACTTCGTTATGGAAGCCCTAGCTAACAATACACCAAAGTATTAGTTTTCTATTGTGATATAATTGCCACAAATATGAAAGCTTAAAATAACAAATACTTATAATCTCACAGTTTCTGTGGGTCAGAAACCTGGGAATAGGTTAACTGAGCCCTGTGCTTTAGGGGCTCTCAAAATGCTGCAATGAGGGGCACCTAAGTTGTTCAGCCAGTTGAGCATCCAACTCTTGTTTCAGCTCAGGTCATGATACCAGGGTAGTGGGATCAAGTCCCACATCATGCTCCAT